CGGATCTCCAGAGCTTCCACCATCCTGGTGCGCCAAATTTATTTTGCGCCAAATGTATGTTATAAACCTGGCCCAGGCTGGGGGCATGGCAACTTATGTAAAGAGCAAATCCAATGCTAATGAACAAGAAGAAGAAGAAAATGTCATTTCTATAGCGCCTCTCAAAATAAAAATCACGAGGCGCTTCACAAAAACAAAAAATGTAAAAATATAAAAAAGCATTTAGAAAATGTTTAAAAATATACTTAAAATAAGCAAAAATAGACAATTGTGATTAAAAACATGATAGAAAGAGAGAGAGTGAACAGGAAAGAGGGAAACCAGTGGATCCTGAGGAAGGTGGAATAGGTGGGGAGAGCAGAATAAAGACAGAGAGGTGAAGAAGGTCATACAAAAGCCAGCTTGAACAAGTGAGTCTTCAGCTGCTTTTTAAAGGAGACCACTGAGTCCACTGATCTCAGGCTCAGGGGGAGAGAGTTCCAGAGTCTGGGGGTCACAGCAGCAGATGATCTGTCACCTTTGACCTTTAGCCTGGTGCTGCACAACCAGTAGGCTTTGATCACTGGACCTCAGGGACCTGCTGGGGGTGTAGGGACTAAGAAGATCACCAATGTAAGATGGTGCTTGTCCATGTAAGGCCCTATAGACCAGAACCAGGATCTTGAAATGAACCCTGAAGTTGACTGGCAGCCAGTGAAGCTGGAGGAGAAGCGGGGTGATGTGGGTGTGTTTGGAGGACTTGGTCAGAAGCCGAGCACAGGCGTTCTGAACCACCTGTAGACGGTTCAGGAGGTTCTGCTCAGACACGTGAAAAGAGAGTTACAGTAGTCTAAGCGTGAGGAGATGAAGGTGTGGAGAACTGTCTCAAGTTCAGAGCGGGACAGAATGGGACTCAGCTTAGCAATGTTACTGAGATGGAAGAAGGAAGAGCGATCAAGAGAACTGACATGAGAATCCAGGGTGAGAGCTGGGTCAAAGGTCACGCCAAGATTCCTGACAGAAGGTTTGGTGTGAGAAGCAAGCTGACCAAGGAACGCTCAGAAAGATAAGAGGACAACCACTCCAGAGCAGATCCTGATAGGCCTACCCAGTCTCTCAGCCTCTCCAGTAGCAGGTGATGGTCAACAGTGTCAAAGGCTGCTTGACTAGTTTTCTGTCCTGTCTGTTTATTATCTTCCTGCATCTCCTCTCAATCCTAAAGAAAAACTGCTACCTGGGTTCATATATATTCACCTCATCAGTTACCTTTGAACTGCAGTTCTAAAAGATCTACCGACCGCAAAAACAGCGGAGTGCGCGCCTACCGCATCAGTGAGGTGCATCACCGGAGGACAAAACAGGTGATGCGCCCCGCTCCGCAGCAGCGAAACGCATCAGGCACAAAAAAAAGACAGAAAACATAAAAGGAAATGAGCCGACATGAACGATTGTGTGTTAAATTAGTTTTTGAGGTGGCGACACCTGATTTGATAACGTTACTGTGGCCGTGCTCAGGACACAGATGTCTGGAGCGCGTCAACAATCAGAGCTTTGCATGCACAAGCTGGTTAAGGTTAGGATAGGGGTGAGGGGAAGGTCACATTGCAAGAGGGTAAAGGTCACAATTCGGTCAAATGTCCGTTTTACCGCAGACGCTCTGGCACAGCGCGTCGGTATCTGACGCGCAGGGGCTCGTCACCTGCTGTCTTTTCTGAGGACTGCATCTCGTCGGTCATCATCACGTGACAGTGACTAGTCTATGAAAGGCATAAAAAGTCACTACAGAGCAGTGAAGTCGACTAGTCGATACAACCCCTAGCGTGCAGCGATGCCAGTAACATCAAGTCACTGGAGCACTGGTGAGGGGTGCAGCAGTCAAGCATCAGGCACGAATGAAAGACAGAAAGTACCTCTGAGTGATCATGAATGATCACGTGTTAATTATATTTTTGGTGGCGCTACTGTGAGAGTGTTGTTGCGGCCATGTGCATGACACAACTGCCTGCAGAATTATAATCAGCGCTCTGCAGCTCTGCGATCAAGAGCATCCTCGATGCGGAGTCCATAATGTAATACACGTAGAAACCTGATCTTTTTCAGGAGTAAAGGATGGTTTAGCAATACTGTCCAGGTGGAAATCAGGAGAAATGTGTGAGAATGGTGGCCCCAGGAGATTTTCGGGAGGGGCACTGAAATTCGGGACTCTCCTGGAAAAAAATCGGGAGGTTAGCAAGTATGCCGGACCCGGCCCGCTTATTGAGTGGCATTGGTTTAGAGGTGGCGACCGCATGAAGAGGTGGAGGAGACTGAAGGACAAATTCATCCATGTTAAAAAGTCGTTGAAGTATACAAACACATTAGTAAATACACCATCGTGGACAATTACACGAGCGTTGTGGTGGCACAGCAAAGCGCTACGCCCTCTGTTGTACTGGCAGGGAATTGCTTTGCAACGCTCTCCAAGTGGAGAAAGGGATGGCTGCAAACCCGGAGACCGTAGATTCAGGCTCCGCGCCGCCCACTGTGTGGTAGCGTTCCAAGATGGAGGACGATCAGAATGTGAAGCACATTTGTTTAACGGTATTAAAGCATCTTTTCTACCGAACTTTCAAAACTAAATTTAATCGAGTTAAGTTTGACAGCAGAATGAAGGTTTTCTTGTGTTTAGTTTAAAGTGAGTTGATGCATTTATCACCACATGTAGGCTCACACACACACACACACACACACACACACACACACACACACACACACACACACACACACACACACACACACACACACACACACACACACACACACACACACACACACACACACACACACACACACACACACACACACACACACACACACACACACACACACACGTGTGCCTCTGCTTGTGCTGTGATTCTGTTGACCAGACAGTGGTACCCGTTCCTCTCAGGTGATGATGGTGTCTGGCCTATTTCATCTAATGTGGAAGAAAGAAAACGATCTTTTCTACAGCGCCTCTCAAGATAAAAATCACAAGGCGCTTCACAAAAACAAAAACATTTAAATATAAAAAAGATTTCAAAATATGATTAAAAAAATAAATGTTTAAGTTGAGAAAAAAGGCCTCATCTCTCTGTGTAAAACGATGTTTAAATGAGATGTTTGAATAATCTGTGCTTGAATCAAAGATTTTGAAATTAATGTTGCTCTTACATTGATCCATTTGTATCACACATCAGTGTGTGTTTGATTTAACAAGTTAATCATGATCTGCACTCACACACATCTTCATAAGATACAAATTAAGGTGCACCTCACATAAAGTTTACAGACTCTTCTTCACAGTGTTAAGAAGCTTGTATCTGAAGGAAGGCGTGGCTTTCTGAGGGGTGTTTTGGTAAAGCCTTCCAGACGTGGCACATTCTGATTGGCCAGAATGGCCAGAAATCATAAAGTAGTTTATTAAAACAAGAATTACTTCCCAGAGTAATCCAGTTTCTAGCGGAGCTCCGAACCGACCAATCCGGAACAAGCATCCTTGAGACATCTCTTTTGATATACAGTCAACCAGTGTGCACGCTGCAAGCTGACACAGCCAGATGGCTCCCTAAGAGCCACGCCCACTTTGAGCGTAAACAAGCATTCCAGCTCCTGTTGTGACCTGGAGACATCTCAAGACTGGACGGGTCGTATCGGAGTTTAATCTACTGGCTTCAGGCACCGTGAGGTTCACCCGACTTCTGACAGTCCGGGTCTGCTGGGGGTCTCCGCCAGGGTTTGTAGACACAACGGATTGCGTCTGACGCCGTTTTATTAATAATCAACTCTCTAGTTTATAGCAGACAACAAATTATTTCAGATACAAAGATTCTGATGAACATCTAACTTACATCACACCACCTACATGTCACTCCATCACCGCATATCCACTCCATCACATCTCATTATTCGTGTCTTGTCATGTATAATCATTAGTTTAGAAAAGAATAAAATCCCTTTTTAACTACATACCTGACTGAATTAATACGAAGTGTGTTTATGGTCCCTCAACAAGTAACTAGAATCTTCTGATTAAACATTCAAAGATCAATCAGGTTGTAATTTCATATTTATATGGAATCATCACATCTTATTGGTCATAATTGATATGCTGTTGTCACGCTATAACGTTTGACCGCTACAGTGGCTCAGGGGAGAGAGGTCCAGAGTCTGGTGGCCACAGCAGCCTTTGGTCTTTAGCCTGGTGCTGGACAACCAGTAGGCTTTGATCACTGGACCTCAGGGACCTGCTGGGGGTGTAGGGACTAAGAAGATCATCAATGTAAGATGGTGCTTGTCCATGTAAGGCCCTAACGACCAGAACCAGGATCTTGAAATGAACCCTGAAGCAGACTGGGAGCCAATGAAGCTGGAGGAGAAGCGGGGTGATGTGGGTGTGTTTGGAGGACTTGGTCAGAAGCCGAGCACAGGCGTTCTGAACCACCTGCGGTGGAGGACCTAAACTTGGAGACGACCACAGAGAAGGAGTGCTCAGACAGATGAGAGGAGAACCATGCACAGGAGGCACGTTTAACAGAATTAAACAGAATCTCAGATCACAGCAGCAGAACATATTTATGTTGCATAAGACGCGTTACACAACGGGCGGGAAAAATCCTCTCTGGTCCTTCACACCCTGCATTGCACCGGTTTATATCGCTGCCTTCTGGAGGACGGTACAGGTCCCTACGGACCAGATCAGCTGTACGGTCACCACAAGTCTTTACCTGAAAAGCCTGTTCCTGCCGCTGAATGTGGACGGTTGTGTGAAGACAGGGACGTGAGATGTCAGCACGCTGTACTGAAAACAACTCCACCAACGTCATTAATGACCGAGTCTGAATCTGAACCGTAGAGGAAAACATCGGGGCACACGTGAAGCTGTCTTTCAGGTCTGTTACACTTTTACTTCAGGAGGCCCCCTGGTGGTGGCCTGGCCTTAGTGTCTCAATCCGCCCCTGCTCAGGTGTGAGGACTGGCTCTACACCAGGAAGAGGACTCACCTGGATGACAGAACTGCGAAGTTCCCCCGGTCCACGAGGCGGATCTTACAGAACAGAACCCCGTTAACGAACGGAACCGCCGTCAGCTCCTCCAGGGTGAAATGGACCTGAAACTTAAACTTCTTCTTCTTCATGAGGAAGGCCATGTCCGTCCCCCAGCTGCTGGAGCGAGCTCGTGGTTCCGACCCAGGAGCAGGTTAACAAGTAGAGTTCGGATCTGAAAGCCCTGCCGCTAATCCGGGTCAGTCCTTACGGGTCCAGTCTCCACCTGGAACGAGAGAGCGAAGGAGGACCTGTTGGTTCCGATCCAGATGGAACAGCTGGGTTCCGAACCGCTGCCACGCAAACAAGCCAGAACCCCGACCCAAACTCACCGCACAGTCCGACCCTGGACGCTCATTCTGCGTCGGAACCAGAGCCGAACAGCGCTACGGAGAACCGGGTTCTCGGTGCTTCCAGACCCAGTAGGAGTTCGGTGTTCTATCCGAACCTGCTGCCTCCTGTGGGACGAGCCGCGCCTCGGGAACGCGCCTTCGGACGCGCGCCTATGGGCGGTGAGTCCTGATCCACTCGGGTTCGGACATCCTGACCTCCGTTCTCCAGAGTTTCACTTCGACTCGATTCTTGTTCCGGGTTCGGTTCGGGGTTAGGGTTCGGTTCAGGTGTTGTGTCGAGATGAGTCCCCCCCGTGGACATCTGTGGCGTGTCCACTTAGCTGCGGGTTTGAACCATCTCGCTCAGAAAGCTCCTGACCCATAAAGATCGTGTTACACAGGTTAGTTCCAGAATGTGGTGGGACGAACTATTTGGTTCGTGGAGATTTGTCCAGGTGGACGACATCCTGGTGACTGTGGGGCGGGGCACGCTGCCTTCATAAGAGGCAGGTATACCTGCTGCGCACGCACAGCTCTCTGACTCCAATCCTCAGAGCGTGTTTGAGGTGGCGCGCTCCCGTTCGTGACCGTAAGTAAAATCCACTTTACCGCCTCATTAGTTCTTCCTCTCTGTGACAGCCGACATGGTTGATCTGTGGTGAGTGCTGGTTGGACGCTGACGCGTATGCAGCTCCAAACTTACCAGCCAGAGCAGGTGCGTAACCAGCGTGGCCTCTTCCTGTTTGGAGGTTGTTCTCCTCGGGCTGATGATCCCCTCCCCAGCTCGACAGAGGTAAGCCAGTAGTTTTGGGTAACGGGGTGAGCCGATCCGGGTGCTTTTTACCATCTGTCTGTCTTGCAGCGCGGTCAACCTGCGGTGCCGTCTGGGGGTAGTCGGCGTTGGCGGTACGCCTCCACGGCTCTGCCACCTGGGCTATGTTGGGTCCCTCGCTACTTCACCTTGGCGTTCCTGGACGACTGGATCCAAGCAGTGGGCCCCAAGGCTCCACACTGCTGTTTTGTTAACTTTCTTTTAATACGTATTTTAGCCCGCTGCTGGGCGGGGCTACAGAGTGTTTGGTTGCCAGGGCAACCACTGGATCTCCCACACCGGATACATTTAATGGAGCCAGTTTATTTAGGTTTCCCCTGTTTTTAACATAACTGACCTGTATAGCACCTCCTTAACTTAGTATATTTTTATCTGTATGCTTTTAGATAACTGTTGAAGGCCATGCACCAGTCTGTTCCTCTGGGTGCACGGACCTAGGTCCTGTTGGTTCCCTGGAGCCGGCAGGCTCTGGAGTGGTGTTGTTGCAACATTTTAGCTTAACTTGGTACAGACTCATTTTGCCACAAGTTATAATTATGCTAAACCATCGACATATATACTGGACAATTAATTTCCATAGGCTCCAATATCACTTTTTTGAGGCCAAATGGGAGGTGGCCACCACCGCCATTTTGACCGTGTCACAGGTTCCGTCAAGCCCAGACAATTCCAAAAAAGGGAAGAGAGGAGGAGCTGAGGGTGGGGCTGTAAGGCTGGGATCGACTGACGACACACGGGTTAAACTAGCTACAAGCTAACCCAAAGCTAATGCGGAGCGGAGGTGGGAGCTAAGCTAACGGAGGTAGCAACCTATCTACAACCGGAGTTAACTGTGCACCACACCAGAGCTTCTGAGTCAGAGATACGCCGGGCTGACGGCTGGGTAAAACCGCATGGAACACAGAGGTCTCCGAGACCAGGTCTCGGAGCAAAATGGAGTTAACGCAGCACCTAATCAATGCTAACAGGCTGTCTGCTTTAAAATATGCTTAAAGTTAATGTGTATAACAACGTGTTCTGTCAAAGGAACAACTGTGATTGGAGGTCATAGTATGTCATCCGTTTAAAAGTAAAAAAAAAAAAGCATCTAGTCAGGGGCGGATTTAGGACTGAAGAAGATCCGGGGCTTAACACACACGCGCGCGCACGCGCACACACACGCGCGTGCACGCGCACACACACGCATGCGCGCACACACGTGACACGCACTAGTCAACATCATATATATTTGTCTTGTACCACATAATGTTTAATCTGAAGCTACATATTCAGCATATTCAGGGCAGAGTATTGTTCCTGTTAGTGTTTAGTGTGAGATGATAGTGAATATTCCCTTTCTTTCTCCAACAACTTTACCTGATAGTAAGCTAACTTTAGGCAAACCAGCAGCACAACAAATATTTTCAAATAAGACTCACAAACCTGAGTCAACACCAGTCTCATCAGAGCTGGGGTTCTGTCGTTGTACTTTTGGTCTAAAAAAACGTCCTTATATCCATCTTCACTCATGCGTTTCAGACAGAGACTGCAGAAGCCAGCTGCTGAAGGGCTTCTCTTCAGTCTCAGGTAAACTGTATATTGACTAAGTAGCCTAGTGGTAGAGTGTCTGCCCTGAGATCGGGAGATCAGGGGTTCGACTCCTGGTCGGGTCATACCAAAGATTTTGAGAAAAATGGGACCCAATGCCTCCCTGCTTGACACTCAGCATTGGATTGGGGTTGGATTGGGGGGTTAAACCACCAAATAGTTCCCGAGCGCGGCGTGTCTGCAACTCAGGGGATGGGTCAAAATCGGAGAATAAATTTCACCACACACCTGTGTGTGTGACGACTAAATGGGACTTTACAAACTACTGCCAGCTGCGCCCTCTCTGTGTGACTTTGGTACTGCATGTTACTTCCGCGATTTAGATCCGGGGCTTATCATGAAAGATCCGGGGCTTCAGCCCAAGTAGCCGGGCCTAACGCCGCCCCTGCATCTAGTACAGTAAGTGACTCTCCGAGACATGATAATGGCTAGCCTCTCTGATGCTAATGCCAGCCTATCCATGCTTAAAGTCCGTTGAGGGGGTAGGAAATCCAGCTAGTGGCCAGCCTAGGCACGTTAATGGCTAGCCTCTCCAACACGTTAATGGCTAGCCTCTCCAATGCTAGCACCAGCCCGTCCAGGCTAACGCTAGCCTATCCATGCTAATAGACAGCAGAGGGAGTGTGTGAACCGGTCAATGACCATCCGAGGGCTGCTAGTCCCTAGCGTATCTAGTAATAACGCCGGTAAAGGTGCTATTTCTCAGTAAGCAGCGCCAGCCTCTCAGTTACCGGCGCCAGCTAATCATTAATCAGGTCGGTAGTTTGCTTCGGAATTTATATAGCCTCCTGCTGCTGGGCAGTAGTCTTAATTTTGGCCCCCATACCGCGCCATATAAATCAACATCGAGGATTTGACCTCTAACGATAAATGACGATAACTACAGGTGTGTGCAGACAAAGGTTGTCCACTAGATGGGGCTGTCACGTGTTTTACGTTGAGTCACATTTTTACGACTCAAGGTGGTAAAGCTTCTTAAAGGGACATGAACTTTGCCCACCTACGCACATCTTGTCATTTTTTATTATAAAACTTGAGAGTCGGGACTAATTTTCTCGATGAGAGTCAGAAATTTCATTAACGATAAATTTTCTATTTATTACCCAGCCCTTGTCTGCAGTAGAGGGTTAGAGAGGTTTCTCTCATGCAGCGCCTCTCAAGATAAAAACCACGAGGTGCTTCACAAAAACAAAGAAAAACAATTAAGTATGAAAGATTTTTAAATATGATTACAATATGTTTACATTTAGAAAAAGGAAATTGTGATTAAAATAATGATAATGTAAGGAAAGGGAGAGAGAAAAGGAAACCAGTGGATCCTGGAAAAGGTGGAATAAGGAGAGTGGGGATGAAGGTCCCACCAAAGCCTGAACAGGTGTCTTCAGCTGCTTTGTGTTAGCAGTGCTCTGCTGCCACCTAGTGTTCAGCTCTGAACACAACAGTCTAAATGTTCCATGTGCATTTACACGTCAGCAGTAACGCCTATAATATCCACACATCCCAACAAATCCCACAGTAGTTACCTTTGTAATGAGACCAAAGTAATCTTACACAGATATACTCTCTAAAGGATGTCATCATTCAGTCAGACGTCCATCACCTGGGCCTCACTAACACTAGTTTTAATTAAAAGAACTGCTTGAGGGTAAATCGTGTTCAAGGGTCAATGGGTGATTAATCAAGATTAATTACAAAGCCTCTAATTAGATTATTTTATAATCGAGTCCCACCTCGTTTGTACACCAGAGAAGATGGCTAACTTTTTATTAGTGGTAGGAAGTTCTAGAAATCGCGGTTTAGAGGTGGAAACTGCATGAAGAAGTGGAAGAGAAGGTGTTAAAAGGTCTCTGAAATACATAAACACAATGTCAACACAGGATAGTAAATACACTAGAGACAGGACTGCTGGGGTTGCAGCATCTATCTTTATAACCTCAGGAAGTCTGAATGATTCATTTAGTCCAGAACATCAGATTCATGAATTCCTTTTATTAAAAAGCAGTTTAACGACAGCAGGTTTATCGTTGATGTGAAGCTGAAACTTAATCAAACGAGTAGAAAACAGCCTCTAAACAGGAAGGAGAAAAGAAAAGATCGCATTATCGGTCTGCTGTATCAGGTGACCATCAGAGGATTCTCAAATCAGCTGGTCACACAGCACCCCCGCTGGTGGAACAGCAGACCCGGACCTGACCGAGAGACCCGATCAGACCCAGACCTGACCAAAAGACCCGATCAGAACTGTACACCTGATCAGAATCCAGAGACCCGATCAGACACAGAGACCTGACCAAGAGACCCGATGTGACCAAGAATCCCGATCAGACCTGGACCTGACCAAGAGACCTGATCAGACCCGTACACCTGATCAGAACCCAGACCTGAACTGAGACTCGATCAGACTCAAACCTGACCCTGAGACCCTATCAGAGCCTGAGACCAGATTAGACCCAGACTTGATTCAGAGACCTGATGGATTCTGGACCCGGTCTCTCCTGGGCGAACCTTAATGTTCCGGTCATGATGACAATGTATTGAACAGTCTGTCAGAACCATCATGAATAAGAACTTCAAGACTTCGAGTTCAGGTCCTGTAGTGTCTTGTGTACAGACCTGGCTCACTGGGTCTCCTCCGTTTGCTGTGAAGGTGTTTTGGGTCGTATCTGCTCCTCGGTACTAGCTCCATCAGCAGCTGCTCCTGATCCTGGACCATTGGGGTTTGTCACCTCTGACCCACTCTGCAGAAACTTTCTCAGGTCCTTCAGAGCCGGTCTGAGCATCTGAACCAAAGCGAGCAAAGCGGCCTGGGTCCCCTCTAGAGCCTGGGCCTGGCGTTCCTGGGCCAGCGCCTGTACCTCCTGACAGCGCCGCATCATCTGCAGCAGCTCGTTCTGACCCTCCAGGTGCTGGGCGATCTGTCGCACGTGCACGTTGGTGACTCTCTGCTCCTGCAGCAGGCGGGCAGAGTTCAGGGCGATCCGGCTCTTCAGCTCCTGGGGTTTGACCTGAGACGGCACCAGAGGCGGAGAGGACGAGGACGAGGCCAGCATTTCCATCGGAGTTTCAACAGCAGTCACCACGGTGGGGGTGGGGTCACCCATGCTGGTTGTGCAGTACTCCACCACACCTCCGTCCTCCAGGGTGTGGAAGGTGGTTTCAGCTGTAGACAGGGCAGGTCAGACAGAGAAGACAGGTTTCTATTGACTAGATTTATTTCACCGTTCATTTTTCTTAAATAATTGTATGTGAAAGTTTTTTCAACTCTACCACAGGGGTAGACCGATATATCGGGACGATTTACCTCCTTACCGTCACTTTACCTGTTTAAAAATTAGGCACATGCTTGGGCTGCTGTACAAAGTAATTTTTAAATAGGATGGGAGGCTGATCTTTTAGCTGTTAGGCTCCTCTCCTGTAGAACCAGCTCCCAGCTTCAGTCCGTGAGGCAGACACCTTGTCTACTTTTAAGAATAGGCTCAAAACATTTTTATTTGAGGGCCTATGGTTAAAATCTGATGTTAGCCCAGATCTGGACAAGTGGGGGAGTAGAGGGAGGTGGAGTGTACAGTCGGTAAAGACGGCTCTCCCTTGCCCTGCCTCCAACATGCCTCCATCTAAAAGGCTAGGTTATCCAGAGTTATCTCTGTAGTTATGCTGCTATAGGCTTAGACTGCTGGAGGACACACTGACCACTTTCCACACTCGACTACTTTCTTCTACAATCTGCTCTTTAACTGTATTATTTTCTGCTATTTCAGCTGTTAACTTTATTTTTTCTCTAAGTGTTTTTCTCCCCAGAAGAAGCTACAACGATGTTCTGCTGAGCTGTGGTGGCCTCATGGAGGGGCCATCGTCTAGCACACTGCTGCTAGTCACTTAAACATTCTCCCTCTCCTGATAATAACTTTTTACTCTCTTTGACATAGAATGTGCTACTACTAGTTTACCCGTTTAATTATAGATTCACTAGAATAAATACAATAAAGTTTATCTCTCACCAAATAGAATATTTACTAAGAAATCACAATGTAAACTGTGTGTGCTGCTTATACTGAGCCAGGATCCTCTGGAGGTTTCTTCCTGTTAAAAGGGACTTTTCCTCTCCACTGTCGCTGCATGCTTGCTAAGTATGATTGCTGCAAAGACTTGGACACTAGTCAGTGACTCGATGCAACCTGCTGGGTTCCTTATATAGGAAACTTGTTATTGGCTGGCTTAATGACCTGACCTGTGTTGGGAGTGTTTACTGTGTGAAGGTCCTAGAGACGACGCTGGTCCTGACTTGGAACTATAAATACTTAATAGAATTTTAATGTATATGAATGTTTCTGAATAACATCTGTATAATAAATACTTACTTTCAACAAAAAAATGTATTTTTTATTAGCCAGTGTTGAATATTGGATACTTGATCAGTTAAGTGATTAATTTAATCAACTTTAGTTACATTTTAATTTTGTGCCCGGCGTTAAAATCACACTTCAGAGTTCAGCTGCGGCTAATGTCACGTTAGCATCAAAGTAGGTAAACAACGTCTAACGCATCGGTAACAAAAAACCAGTCTACCTCTACTCGGCTGCTCCAGAACTTTGTGTCTTCCTCAGTAAACTAAAGACCAAACAAGGTTCTGGTGGTACACTGACCTGTCAGTGGTTTGTTGTCGTTGCAGACGGTTCCTGCAGCGTCTGGAAGAGCTTTAGAACAAAAACATGATTCAGAACAAAACACCTGGACAGATAAAAGCACCAGAACCAGACCAGAGCTCAGATCTGGACCTGAACCAACACAGATAAACAATCATCACATTCTGGAGGTCTACTTCCGGGTTCGGATGAGAGGATCCTAAAACTCCATCAGGAAGGTCAAACAGGAGCCAAAACCGGCACCAGGAGCTGAGGAGAACCGGATCCTGGAGCAGGACAGGCTCAGAGACCCACTGATTCTGGGTTTGAGGACTAAGATTTCAGATCAGTGACCGATTCGGCTGATCGTGGCCAATTCCAGTCAGCCGATTTAAGGTCCTGACCTCAAAGGAAAGTCGGGTTAGAAGATGAAGCAGGTCTACCAAGCAGAGACTGGATTTTTCTTCAAGAATCTCGGCAGACTGAAAAGTTCTGGTAGAAGCGATCCTCTGCTGGGTGAGGAAGAAGGAACCTGACTGATGAAGACTTTAAATGCTGGGGAAGGTTCTCAGCCATCCAGAGCCTGGAGATGATCCTGGTAGGTCCAAACATCACAGAGGTCCTTCTAACGCAAGGATCTCCATCAAAACAGAGAAAACCGGAGCCCTGGTGGTGGTCCCGGTATAGTCACGGTGGGATCCAAGGCCGGATTAACCATACGGGCAACTGGGCAATCGCCCAGGGCCCACGAACTCTAAAGGGCCCAGGCCCAGGGCAGCAAGCAAAATACTGAATCTGTAATCTCCCGCTTTATATTAAACTAGGGTGACCGTACGTCCTCTTTTCCCCAGACATGTCCACTTTTCACTTTCTGTCCGGGGCGTCCGGGGGGGATGTTCTTGTATTGATGAAAATGTCCGGTTTTTCATCCAGGAGCAGGGATCGAATTATGGGGGATCTGTATATCCTACACATCCAGAGGAACCGGATAAAAGGTTTCTACCTATATTACATCATTTATGGACTCTTCTGAGCAGAGAGCTGATCGTTGTTGCGCAGCGCTTCAGGCTGCTGCTTCCAGCGCACGGTCCATTCTCAAAGTGGCGCAACCAAAAAACGAATTAGCACACGATCGTTCATGTCCGCACATGTTCTCTATTTTCTGTCTTATTTGTGCCTGAAGCGCTCTGCTACTGCGGAGCTCATCACCTGTGCTGCGGTGATTTCACCTCACTGACGCAGCATCGAAACGCGCTCTCCGCTTTGCGGTCAGGAGATTCCTTTGATCTGCTCAAAAGTTACTGATGAGGTGAAAAAGTAAGAATCCAGGCAGCAGATTTTCTGGAGAGTTTAGAGGAGATGCAGGAAGATGAGAGACAGACAGGACAGGAAATAGTTAAATAAAAACAAGAAAACAAAGTAAAATGTAGGTAGATTTATCTCCACTACACGTTTTTACCTGTATAAAACAATAAGTTACACACATGTAATAATTACACATCTGATACAATTCAGATCACCTTCAAAACTCTGTCACACACCCAGGGCCGTTTCAAGACATTTTGGGGGCCAAGGCAAAATGACCCCCCCCCCCCCCCCCCCCCCCCCCGCAGACTGACCAATGAAGAGAGGGCCTCAAGTTAAGACCCTCACCTCATTGGTCAGTCCACATGAGGTGGGTCAAAGGTTACCCTGAGCGCGTTACGTGATGTCAGGCATTCAAGTATTGAGTATACAGTGATCCCTCGCTACTTCACGGTTCGTTTATCGCGGATTCACGACTTCGCGGATTTTTTTCTTTGGAGCCTCATTCAAGGGAAATTCTCCGATTCGCGGTATTTTTCACCGATTTGCGGTATTTTTCTATGCGAAATATCAAGAAATTCCTGTTTTTTTTTTATCAATTTCATCATAAAATGCACTTTTTGTAATAAAACTATAAAAAACCAAGTATACATTTTTTTTCTCTTGAGTTTTACCCACAAAAAGAGAAAGTGATCATACGATAATTCAATATAGTACTGTACTGGAAATATGGTGTCCCTACTTCGCGGATTTTCACCTATCGCGGCCAGGTCTGGAACGCAGAGGGATCACTGTATTTACTGCATATTACAGTAAAATATTCTGTATGTGACCATATTATGGTGATCATTGGGTCGTGATGATGGGGCCCTTGAATATTGTTATGAAGGGCACAACAAAGTGTTAATCTGGCCCTGGTCGGATCCCAGCAGCTCAGACCTCCAGACATCACTGGGATGAGTTAGCAGCAGCAGGCTTTCCTGCGCATGCGTCACACTTTTAAAAACCTAAACAACTTGAAAGTGATGCAGGATGTGAGAAGCTTAGTCAGGTTTAACCCTTCACTCACCTTCCGTCAAAGTCACGGCGGCGCCAGCGTTTACAGTCACAGGTAAACTTAGCTCCGCCTCCGAATCTCCGCCAGGTAAACTGATGATGGTCGCTTCTCCCAGCAGGTTGCAGATCCGCTGCTGCATGGCGGTGAGGATGACCGGAACCGGGGTGCAGTCGGCGGCCGTGCCCTCTATGGCCGCCCGAGCCTGGGCCACCTTCCGCCGGACCTCGGTCTTCATGTCGGACCACTTCTTCTTGATCTCGGGCAGCTCGCGCGGACAGGTGGTGACGGCGTTCACCTTCTTCAGGGTGTCCATCCACGCGTTGTTCTTGGCCATGTGAGTCACTCCCGCGTTGAAGTGGCTCACCAGAGTGTGCTTTTGTTTCTCGATCTCCTCCACGATTATCTCCACCTCCCGCTCCGAGAAGTTCATTTTCCTCTTTTTGGCGGCCGATGCCATGACGTCAGGAAACGCTCCCAAACGCAGCTAAAAGTGCGTATTGTACGCAAAAACAGTAGAATTTACTCAACTTAAGTGCGCAACGTAATGGCTTCCAGAATCGGCTTCTTCCTCCCAACGACAACGCTTACGTTAGCCGGGCGCGAGGCCCCGCCCACTAAAGTACCATTTGCTCAACGTGCAGTGACGCGTCAGTATCCTCTGCTCCTATTGGCCTAGAGTTCTGTCCCTTCTGGAGCCCACAGAGAATTCAGGAGGAACATCTGATCAGATCAGATTAAGTCGAGTTTAAAGTTACTAAACAGCAAAAATCAGAATCTATTCGAGTCAAATTAAAACGTAAGTTTATCTGAGCAAAATGAAAGTGCTGAACTAAGTTCATTTTCCACATTTGAGCTAAACGAGTTGGAAAACTTGAGTAAAGGTGTTGAGGGTACGACTGAGAATTAGTGAAAAGATTTAAACTGTGCTCTAAAATGAAAATGTTATCGGCTCATAGACAAAACTCTGTTTTATTGTTGGATCCATTTAACAACATTCTACAAACAAAGATGCAATAAACGTTTAGAGCACCAGACACCGTTTAGATGAATCCTCTTTAGCCGTGAACAGACTTCACGTCTGCGGCCGAACGTGGAGTTCATCTCAGTGTGAAACACCGTTCTGTCCATGATGAACGGCACATCCCATAATTTAGTTTAAGGCTCATTTAACCACAGAACACTGGATCAAACCGCTGCTCCAGGACTTTCCTCATTAGTGTTATTTACATAAAACCAAAAACACGAATAGGTGTGTGTACGCACCCAACCCCAGATTAAAGAAGGCCCCCCTCTAATCCCAGCCTGAGCCCCGAGCTAAAGCAGAAGTGCTGAACGGAGCAGCTCCAGACCCGTTAGCGGCCTGCAGCTTGTGGCAGAAAACGTGACGTTGAGTAAACATTAGCTTCAGTTAGAGATCAAAGCTCAGCTCCTACAGCTGTGGCTCGTGTTAACAGCTGCACGTGTCCGTGCTCCCGTCTGTAAGGTTCTGGGTGAAGCTGCCTTGGTCCTAACTAACTTCTGAGCGGATTCCCTGTGTTACAAACATCCAGAAGCAATTGAATGCACCATAAAGACGGTCCAACAGTCAGCAGGAACAATCAAAGCCCACCTAATGAACGCTACTCTAGAACCACTCACCGCGACTAGATGCACCGATTCTGGCTCCGATGGCCGGTGCCGATTAGCTGAATAATTAAAAACCAGTGAATGCGTGCTTAGCGGTGGTGAGTTCACGGACCAGGAAAAGTGTCCGATCCTTTGCTGCAGGCCAGCAAGGCTGAGTTAAACTCTCGGAGGAAGATTCTGATCTAGTTAGTTTAGTTACCAGCGGTGTTCTCCGTTTAGTGGAAAACTTTTAATTTAGACACAGATGTAATGAGACGTCTGGATCGTTTACTTCCAGGAAGTTTTCTACGGGATCCAAACATCTCATTAGCAGGGTAAAGAGCTGATTTAATGATGTGAAACAGCCAATCAGCACCAGCGATAATACAATGATGGGTGCTCCATACCTTGCCACCAGCTTGGTGTAAGGCACCGTTGTCTCCACCGGTGGGTGGAGCTACAGTCTGATGCTCAGCAGCACCTCTGCCTGGCTCTACTTGGCAGACTCTAGGTCCAGGTGTTTGAGGACTCCGCCCACCAGGTGGAGGCTTCCTGTGACCAGGACATGGATCTCCGCTGCTTCACACAGAGGAGCAGCCTTGGCCGTGATGCTGGGTTTAACAGGCAGGACCGTGTTCTGCGGACCAGTCAGAACTGGATCCCGGCCCTGGGTGACCCACTGGAGGGCGCTCAGGATGCAGGGAAACACCAGCGTGTCGGCCATCTTCTCCGGGACCAGCGACAGGCGGTCCCCGATGAAAAGGGACGTTGCGTTGTCTTCTCCACGGTTGTTATGGAGATGCCAGCTCCTCTCGTTGTCAAGGCAACGGGTCAGCATATTTTCCACAGAGACATTGAAGTTCTGCTGGTCTGAAAGGAAGAACCGACAGGTGAGTTCAGGAGGAGCGGAGCTGCACCTCCGGCACGCTCACGCTTTAACCTTTCAGAGGATTGACCCGATCACATTTTCACTCCTGATCCAAGTCGTTTCGTTTTAAGACTCTGACACGGAGTCCTGATCCGGTACTTTAGAACTGCACCAGGCTGCCCTTTAAGCAGTTCTGTTTGTATTTGTCCTTCCTTTAGATCTCCCGCCCTAAAACACTCGTTTAGGAAGCGAAACGTCAGCATGAATAAAAGCAAAAGTAGCCTTGTTGTCGCTCGTATTTCAGATCCTTTCCTCGGTGTGCGGCTCTTCTGAGCGACAGGGACCCTAACCCTCTACCAAACACCCGTCGAGCTGCTGCGTCTGTAAGAGAACGCAGATCATACAGCCACTCCAAACCCGACGCTCGTCCAGCGTGGTAAATAGGTCGCCATCTTGGCATCTTGCCGTCCGTTTGCTTAACGTCTCTCTTAGCGTCGGCTGGTTTCGCCGCATTGTCGCAGCGAACTGAGCAGGGTTAGTTTCTTAAGGTGGTGCATCAGAGTTGCAGTGTTAAAGGCCCAGTTTGCACACATCACACGTGCTTATTCTCTTCTCCCCCCCCTTACAGCACATCCATCTTCTCTCTTAAGCTGGGCGGACACTGTGCGACTTTTTCACTCGTAGCGTTCAGCTTCAGCTCAAACTGTACGACTTCCTCGCAGGGCAGATCTCACGAGTCATGTGCTCACACTGCACGTCTGGCAGCAACACGTCGGACCTAAAAATATGCTAAAAATAGCAGTTTTTACTCAACACGTCAGACTTTTTTGTCTTGCCTGTTGTCCTTCGGGAGTGCTGCAGGAGGACACACAGGGATTTATGGGGGTTGGATGAGGAAAACGAAATAAAGAAAGTAAATCTGTGTTTTGTGATCAGTTTAATTTGACATGAACACGACAAACACGCTTTCTTGACAATCTTTGTGAGTAAAAAAATGTGTAGAAATAAAAACGAACAGCGTGTGTTATTAGGGAAATAGCGGGCGAGCGGTGTTGATGCAGGATTGCGAATGCGCCGTGAGCGGTTCTGATACTTTTTGGGTCGCAGCTGCTCGCAGCGCCGCTTCAACAGTGCGATACCCTCACGAGGGACGAGCAAAATATCAAACACGCCAGAAGTCCGTGCGACCTCACGACTGCTGATCGGTAGCTGGTCACATGGTGTTAATCGCCTCTCGTAACCCCCTGTACACTACACGACACTCGGCGCAAAACTCGCCCCGATCTCGTGGATTCTCGCACGAGTGGAAAATCGGCTCAAACAAGTGAAAAAGTCGCAGAGTGTACGCCCGGCTTTAAGGCGACTAGGGTTGTCACGGTGTGAAAATTTAACATCACGGTTATTGTGACCAAAATTATCACGGTTTTCGGTATTATTGCAGTATTTTTTTAAACGTGTTAAATTTTCAGACAACTAAATAAACCCTGTATGTCAGGAAAATATTGTCCTCGGTTTGTGTCCTTCCAGTGAGCTTTGCAGATGTGGGAAAATGTCATCAGGCAGTAATCATTGTTAAATTCATAATTATTCTCGGAGAGAGACCAACTCTTATCGGCCCCTGGGAGCCCCGTAATGCATAGCGTCATTTCAACATGGCGGTGTCCGCGACACGGTTTATATGCTGGTAGCGGCGCTGCGGCTGCTTTATGTAGCGACTCGTTGCTTTCTCCCTCAACCCAAATCCTCGGATCACGCATTTTAGCTAAAGCGCTAACGTTAGCTTGCCTTGCGTTGACTGTAGAGTTGTGGGTGATGGTCACGCAAATGTGTCATGAGAGTTGAAGCGTTGCTGCCTTTCACAGACACTTTTTCTGCACGTGCTGCTAACAGGATAGCCGTCTTCTATCAACTGTCCCTCGGCATTCTTCAGATATCCAAAAAATGCCCGTACTTCCCACTTTGTCTTCTTTGAGGGATAATAAATGTCCTGAGCGCTGCCGTCTCCTCCTTTGACCATTATTTCAGCTTTAGCTTCAAGAAAGTTTTGGTTGTAAACAACAAAGTGCGTATGTGCCGCCGGCAACTTCAGCAGATGATACGGTGGCTGGTAAGGGTCACCGCGCCTACACCGCAGCCACGGTAACCCACCGAGATAATATATGTGTTAAAAACAAGACGGTTATTATTATTGTCAACTTTTTTACCGGGGTTTACCGCTACACCGGTTACCGTGACAACCCTAAAGGCGACACGTATGCTCTGTGTTACCGAACTGCCACGTTATGGTGTCTGAATTCCTGGGCTACCTTAATTTGTGGGACTTTGTGGCGCTGTCTGTGAAACAGAATCCTGATGTAGAGGAGCTAGTTGGTTATTAACTAAGCTCTTAAAGTAATGCTTGTTGTTTTAAACGGTTAAATCAGATCTTTTCCGCCCGATTCCCATTTGCTGAAAATCACGTGGTCGGACCGGATTTCTGATCGGAGCATCCCGACTGTTTTCCTGCACCTGGAAGGCGCGTTGAAGCCCCTCTGTGTAAAATGTGCTTTAGAGCTAAAGCTGCTTCGTCTTCCTCCCTCTTCGCCCCGAGGCGAGGAAGAGGAGCGTGGACGGCGCAGAGAGCGGATGAACAGATTTACCTGGTGACGAGTCTCACCTGCGTTACAGGAGGCGATGGCTTCTGTGATGTTCGGGCAGAAAACGGCAAAGTCAAACTGACACGGCTGAGAGGAAACGAGCAGAGTTTAGAATCAGAACCAGACCAGAACCCTCCCCCCCCTCAGCTCAGATCCAAACATGAGGCCCAGAGGGACTCTGGTAGGTTGTGTCTTCAGGACAGATCAGGGTTCCTACAGAGATCCTCCTGTTGCTACCACGCAGGAACCCTGCAGGTGATTCTAACGGAGATGTAAGAAGTCCGCCGCCGTCCACGACGTAAAACCACCTTTAGTGGCTCTACATCATCTGGACACACGGCTGTGTAAAGCGGGCCGAACCCGGGTCTCACCTGCAGCAGCTTGAGCATGGCGGCCGAGTCTCTCTCTCCCGTGGCGTTGAACAGCAGCACTCTGGCAGCAGGTCCACTAGAACACAAACAGCAGGAGCTGACGGCGCCGACCTTAGAGCAGAAGGTTCTGGACAGCCGAGAAGATTTTAAACCTGCCGCTCCTCTCGTGGCGAGCCGCCGTCTCTCTGAACCACTCGACACACGCCTGCATGCTCCTCATTGTGTGAGCTCCATCCAGGAAGTAGGTCACGGTGCCGTGCTTCAGGGTCTGAGTTCTGCCGGGCCACTCGGTGTTCGCCAGGCCTGAAACCCAAATAGGTGAACTGGAACATTACTGAAGAACAGAAGTTGGACCGGGAGTTCTGCTTGGCACCAGGCGGACTCACCTTTCACCATGATGGGGCTGAGATGGAAGGAGGGGGCCTGAGACCTGCTACGGTTCTCTGGATCGGTGAAGGTTCCACCTGCAGGAGGCGGAAACGAGACGAGATCCCAGAGATCCAGAATCAGGTTACTGGTTATGGTTCTGTCCAACAAATAGCTGCTCCTCCTTTAAGGGAGAAAAACCCGATACACGTAAAAATGCATCGGTTCTGGCTTAGAGGGCCCAGGCTGGTGTTCTGGTGAACTCATGTACCAGCTCAGTCATTCCCAGATATTCCAGCGTCCTGAGTGAGCCACACTCGTATCCGACCTGCTCTACGTGAAAACAGACGCCCGTGGAGGTTAGAGGAACAGGTGAAACAACCACAGTCCCACAGCTCCAACGGCCTCACCTGGTCCACATCTCTTCTGCAGCCAGGTGTGACTCAGCTGGAGGGCCAGGGAGGCGTTGGAGCGCTGGTGCCGTCCGGCGAGGCCCAGGCTCAAAGGTCCAGAGTCCGTCTGGTAAGTGTCCAGCTCCGGACACACCCACAGAGGACACTGCAACAACAGAGTGGGTTACGTGGAGCCGAGCTGCTGAAACAAACGGAGGAGGGAGTCTTACGCCGATCTCTGTGGCCCGGTCCCGTAGGACCGCCATGGCGTCCTCAGGCTGTCTGACGGTGAAGGCCGGAACACCGAGCTGCGGAAACACCACGGTCAGCCAGGAAAACCACCACAGCAACAGGTCAACACATCTACATCAAACTAAAACCGCTTCCTGGTGGGTTTAGGATCCGACTGAAACCCGCGTAAACGAGCAGTCGGCTGAGCACTGGTGCCGTGGTCCACACCTTAAAGATGCCTCCTTTCTGCCAGGCGATCTTCTCTATCGTGTCTCCGAGGATCTGAGTGTGATCGATGCCCAGGGAGGAGACGCCACAGACCCACGGCTTCCTGTTGACACAAACGTCACGTTTATCCTCAGCGCCACGGGGACAGCGGCCCAGACCAGCAGCTGGACCCGCAGGAAGCAGCCGCCGAAGGGATCAATCATAATAATCCCTCTAGTGGACAACCGCAGGAACTAGCTGCAGCCCAGACTAACGGGTTTGTCAGAACCAGCAGCACAGGAACCGGGAACACTGGAGCTAAGCTCCGGCTGTCTGCTGGAAACTAGGATGCACCCCTCAGGTCCTGGTTCTGGTCCCTGATGGGCGCCGGTGCCTCTGGGGTTCTGGACCGGATTATCAGTAAAAATCAATCTAAACATCGTTTACTTTAGTCTGACTGAAAACTCACCGGATGACGTTGGTGCAGTCGAACGCGCCTCCTATACCCACCTCTACCAACGCTACGTCCACCTGAGAGGAGAAGGGGGAGGAGTCACGGTCAGGGCAGCAAACATGGCCGAGACAGAAATCAGTCCACCCCAGAGCTCCAACACCATACCTTCTCCTGCAGGAAGACGTGGAAGGCCAGGATGGTGAGGAAGCGGAAGTACGCCGGCATCGATCCCCCCTGGTCCCCCTGAGGTCAAAGAGTCAAAATCAGCCTGTTGAATTCTAACATCCTCACCCAGAACCTGCAGAACCGAGCTGTGGGCCAAGTTCCTGATTCACGGTGCAATGTTTAATGAAAGCCTGATGTCCCGGTTCCTCTGTCCACCCAGGCCTAATCAGAGGACAGGGCTCCTAATGGGACTGGAGCGCGCGTCACATGACGGTCACGCTCCTCCGTGCACAGCGGCTCTCATTAGGATCAGACCTTCATTAGATTTTCCACCACAGCAAAGTTCCCGCGGAGGGAATTCAGACAGTAAAAGTTCACAGCTGTCGCAGTGTTCTGGCTCCCACCTTGGTTTCATCCAGAGGTCCGTAAACCTGCCAGAAGTACTTGGAGAAGAGGTCTTTGCTGATGGGCTGCCCGTTGATTCGGATCCTCTCTCTGACTTGGACCAGATGTGGAGAACTGATGGAAACACAGCGGGAGGGTCGAGTTCACGCTTAACTTCTGCTCAGGTAAAGGTCCAGTCGAGTGGACCGCCACACCTGGAGACCCCACCCCTCCCCCCACCCAGACGGGGATCTCCTGATTAATCCCTGCTTGACAAAGCCCCCCACCCCGGTTTCGCCGGCTCCACGAACGATTCTCAGGTGGATTCAATCCCCCGCCAGCCACCAACAAGTAGACGTCACTTGCCTCGTTCAGTCAAACACGAAGCATCAGCTAGCCTAGCTGCTAGCCTGCCACGGAGCAGGTTTGTTCTCCTGCATGTGTTACCATGGTGACTGGGAGGGCTTCAGGCAAGCCATGTTCGTAGAACAGATTTAGGGGCGGTTCCACCGGGAGTCCCACAAGAAAGCCTGGTTTTGGGAATAGCTCGCTTCCTGGAATACCCCCCTGTTCTCCGCTGGAACTTTAGCTCCCGTTTGCACACTGACCTTTGGACAAAGAGGAGCCATGTGGGGACGTTTCAGAGCAGAAATCAGCTCACGGTTACCATAACAACTGGTAGACACCCCAGTCAGGGCTGGGAGGATTTCTGCCAAAGTGTAAAAACAGCCGCTGGATAATAACTAAAGCACTTCCAGTTTCACCTGTAGAATCCTGTTCGGAAGCCGTAACTCCTCAGGATCTGTTCGGTGAACGCACACGTCGAGCCCTGGAAAAGCAAAAACAACAATCAGAAACACACACACACATGCACGTATACGCACACACACACACATGCAAAACTCACATGTATATACGCACACACACACACACACATGCAAAACTCACATGTATGTACCAGGTATGTACGCACGCGCACACACACACACACACACTTACACACATGCATGTATACACACACACATGCAAAACTCACATGTACACACACACACACACACACGCACAAACACTTGCATGCACACACACTCTTACACACATGCACGCATACGCACACACACACACATGCACGTATACAGACACACACACACACACACCTTGCCCTTTGTTCCCGTGACATGGATGATGTTGAGATGGTCGAGTTGATCCACCTGTAAATCACGGCCATGTGAGACTGGAGGAAATACGCCGCGGCTCTAAACAGCAACACGACTCACTTCCTGGTCCCTGAAGTCCTCGCGCTCCTGTGTGGATGCGATAAACTCACCGTGAGGCCGGCTCGCTCCAGGAAGCTCCTCATGGCCTGTAGCTGCTGCTGGGGTTGGTTCCGCTCGCGCCGGACCTGCTCCAGGGGCACCGGCGTTGGTCTGCAGGCGTGTTCAGGGTGCAAACTGCATCCTGGGACGAAAGGAAAACAGCTCTTCATCTCACGTTTCATTTTCAGGAGCAGAACAGAAACCAGGCCATTCAGATTAGTTTAGCCTGAAATCGAGTCAGGCGAGGAAGTTAGGCCTCCTCGCACCCCAGACACGTCACCTTTGACCCCTTTGTTGTGTAGCAAGTACATTTATCTATAGAACACTTATCACAGACACGGCATCACAACGAGCTTCACATAGATAAAATAAAACAATCATCTCAAAACAAAAGTAGATTTACATCAGAAAATATCATAAAATTATAAAACTTCATAAAACAAAGATTATAAATTAGTTAAAAGTAAGGAAACAAATGATTTATGTAAACGGCAGCTTTAAATGGATCTCTCTCTCTCTCTCTCTCTCTCTCTCTCTCTCTCTCTCTCTCTCTCTCTCTCCTCTCTCTCTCTCTCTCTCTCTCTCTCTCTCTCTCTCTCTCTCTTCTCTCTCTCTCTCTCTCTCTCTCTCTCTCTCTCTCTCTCTCTCTCTCTCTCTCTCTCTCTCTCTCTCTTCTCTCTCTCTCTCTCTCTCTCTCTCTCTCTCTCCTCTCTCTCTCTCTCTCTCTCTCTCTCTCTCTCTCTCTCTCCTCTCTCTCTCTCCTCTCTCTCTCTCTCTCTCTCTCTCTCTCTCTCTCTCTCTCTCTCCTCTCTCTCTCTCTCTCTCTCTCTCTCTCTCTCTCTCTCTCTCTCTCTCTCTCTCTCTCTCTCTAACACAGAATGTTTTCAGAAATAAATATCGATTGCAGACGCAGCTCCACTCCGCCTGTCGATCTCACACTCCAGCTTTCCTCACTCATGAACAAGACCCTGACCTCCTCCCTGACCTGGAGAAGGAATTCTACCCTTATCCGACTCAAGACCCATCTTCAGCCTAAAGAAGAACTAATGGTTCTGGTCTGGCCCCCAAGGACCCCATCATGGAGTGTGTCTGGGATCACACGAGGAGACAGAAGGATGTGAGGAAGCCTACATCCACAGATCTGTGGTTGTTCTCCCAGATGTTTGGAACCACCTCCCATCCCAGGTCCAGCTGTGTTCTAGTGTAGCGAGAGGACTTGCTGCTGCTCTGGAGGCAGAAGGTGGTCTCAGCAGATATGGATCTGATTTAGGCTTCTCTTGTTGTGGATGAAGATAAATGTTGATTCCTTCATTTCTGCAAGAATTCTTGTTTACAGCATTTTTCACACCTGCCTAAAACGTTTGCACTTTACTGATACATGTGTGCGCGCGCACGTGTAGATGTTGTATTTTAAAAAGTTATTTGAGCATATCTCTGTGCGCTCTGGGCAAAGGGCGCGCGCGCACACGCATGACCCTGGTTGCTCTCTGTAGTGGTCTCATCAGCCTTATGGGAACGATAAACATTCGCCTCCTCTGTAGATGATTCATCTAACACAGGTTTGAGTAAATAAAACACTCATGCCTGTCACCACGTGTTTAACAGACGACCTGGCTCTAAACCAGACCGAGGGACTAGAAACTGTAACAGGAACCTAACTTCTATCAAACCAACAGATACATGCTAATTATTGGCCAGAAGCAGCTTTACCCCCCAAGTACAACTTTAGATAAAACACCGGTGTTGTGTGTTCAGCTGTCAGCCATGTTTCTCTCAGTTACACGTTTCTGTTACTAAACTCTCTCCCAGACACCTGCAGCCGAGTACAGCTAGCTTAGCCACCGGTGAAGGAGGAGCGGGAGACCCGCCGTACCTGGTACTCCATCCCGGGGAGCTGAGGAGCCGTCTTGGTGCTGTGGTGCCGGAACCGGACTGACAGACCCGCCGACCTGAACACACTGTCCCGCTCTCGGAGCAGCAGAGCGGCTAAACCGGATCCCTGCAGCAGCACGCGCCTCCGAGGGCACGCCATCATGGGGCGTTAAGACCGGAACCTGCGGCCAAATATGGGAGGGCTGTTTGCGTGTGCGTCATGACGCTGCGACACTCCCCCCAGTCTTTTTTTCTCTCATAACAAATAAAAGCAAACTAAAGTCAGTGGCATACGACATAGACCTCTCACACACACACACACACACACACACACACACACACACACACACACACACACACGCACGCACACACACTTATATATGGCCTAATTCGCAGAAATCTACTGTATTATTCACCAAACTGGATCTCCGTAATGCATGTCACCTCATCGGCATCCGTCACGGTGATGAGTGGAAGACTGCTTTTCAGACACCTCTTGGTCATTGTGGTGCCCTTCGGACCAACGTTGCTCCCCCCCCCCCCCCCCCCCCCCCCCCCCCCCCGTTATAAGCAATGATAAACGATGTTGTTTGTTTTTTGTGTTTGTGACTAAATTCTGTCTGAAACAAAAACAAATTAAAACAAAAACAAAAAAGAGCCAGCACCTGGAGCAAGTTGGTGTCACCATAGCAACAGATGATGGGTTAAACGTCCAAGCTGCCCCGGTCTCTTCTGTCCACCAGGTGTCGTCACCTGCCCTGATCGTGGAGGCAGAAACACCTGAGTCCTCATTAAATGAGTTTTTAGTTGTCTGGTAGAAATGGTTTTATCATAAAAGTATTAAAGAGATTTAACATTTACTTTATTCTAGACATTTATTTTCTCATTGCTTAGTTTTGTTTTACTCATTCCTGCTCAGGCTGCTATAAGCTGAGAAGCTCCGATATCAGGCAGGGGCTCTGATTAGAGCTGATGTTCCTCCAGCAGCAGCTCTCTTGTGCACATGAGAGGTGGTTCTATTCTATACTATATACTGCCACCAGAAGGTTGCAGGTTCGAGCCCTGCTCAGTCTGTCACTGTTGTTGTGTCCTTGGGCAAGACACTTAACCCCCCTTATCTGCTGGTGGTGGTCAGAGGGACCGGTGGCGCCTGTGTACAGCAGACTAGAGCCCTGCACGGGCCTGAAATCTGAGCCCGTGTCCGGCCCGGCCCAAGGGGGTGGAACCCCAGCCCGACCCAGTCCGAAAAGGTGTTCAGGATTCTCTGGCCCGACCCGAGCCCGACTTTTTTTAACCAACTAAATGAAAACAAAGTGCGTCAATCCTGACCAATGTGTTAAAAGACGTGCAGGATCCGATCAATTTGTTTTTCCCTCATTTACCGTCACAGAGATAACGGCGCACTGGCTCTGGTGATAATCAAGTTAAATTTTATCTCTTTCCAACAATTTTCACAAGAAAACAAAACAGTCAAAAGCAGGGCTTGTGTTGTGTTGACCGGATAGTTCCCGTGTTTGACCGTTTATTTTGACGGAGAAAGAATAGAAAGAATTACCCCGACGCATGCAGACGAACTGACATTTTATTCTACGGACATCGCAGATGTAGCTAAATCACCCAAGAAAAGATTCCCATCTGAACAACTGAGCTGGACACTGCTCAGCGCAGCTCGCTGTCAGCGCATATGTGCACAACGAGCTGAAGATGTGGAGATTGGCCTGGAGCGCGTTGCAGAACCAGAGCGCATGCGGGAAGATTCCTCCCATTGAAGCGAGTGTTTTCCAAACCCGGTCTCTCAGAGAGACTTGTCACTTAGAAAATGTTCCCTGATTATGAAACTTTGGCTGAATAGCGCTTGTTCCTGTCTCCAATGTGGCGACACATCCAGGAGCCGTCTGAGGAGAATCCCAGAATCTGACATCCTCTTCAGCTCAGAAAGCGGATATGATTACGCACAAGCGTGACCCGTCAACCCGGTCTCACAGTAAGAACAGGTTGGGCCTGTTCAGGTTTACGCAGACAATCTTTACATAGAATTGACTTACAGATATAAAATTAATTCAGTAAAATATAAAGCATTTTATTTAAATATCCATTCATTATTTTACAAGCACAGAGAGCCGCATCAGATGGATGGAAGAGCCGCGGGTTGCCGACCCCTGGTATAGCCTATAAAAGACATGTTTTCTCCAGGACCAGAGAGGACGCAAACTCAATGCATCTCTTTTATTGTGAGCTAATAATTTCTCAGAGTTTTGCGGTTGCGGGCGGGAGTAGAAATGCACACTGCGGGTGCGGGCGGTAATTGTCAGAAATTCAGCGGGAGCGGGCAGGAGCGGGATGAAGTAAACAGTCCCGCACAGGGCTCTACTGCTGCGTTTAAGTGTTTCAATTTTTTAAATGAATTCGATTACAAATAAAGGCGCCCGGCCCAGCCCGTGTCCGAGGTAATTACACAGTCGTTGGCCCGAAGCCCGGCCCGAGTGCCGTTGGGCCAGGCCGACCCGAGGGCCTAGGGCTTCAGTGCAGGGCTCTAGTCAGCAGACTCACCTCTGTCCGTGCATCCCAGGGCAGCTGTGGCTACAGTGTAGCTCATCCCCCCCCCCAGTCTGTGAATGTGTGAATGACTGATGGTGTTGTAAAGCGCCTTGGGGGGCTCCAGGACTATAGAAGGTGCTATATCAAATACAAATATTTATTTTCCACGATTGTGACATCACAAACGTACTTTTAGAAAAGGCTGCTTTTAGGCATAATAATTCCTAAACCCAAACTCCGACAGAAAATGGATGAATGAATTTTTTCATGGTTGGAGTGTTACTTGAGTCAGTAGAGACCCATGTGGTAGCACAGAAGTATGTAATCTGTGAGTTTTGTATAATCTGTCCCCTCTAAAGCATAATTCAGAGTAAAGCTGGATTTATTCGTCCATCCAGCCTCGGCTGATGTCCTGGGTCTTCCTCTGTAGGATCCCCAGGAGGTTCAGAACTCACTAAAGGAGCTGGAGAAGGAGGTCTAGGATTTCCTCCTGGATCTGGCAACTTTAGACCTGTCTATGGATCCGTCCTCCATCCATCGGATCCAGAGATCTTAAAGTGACAATGTGTAGTTATTTCTTTTATTAATCTCTGGAAATATCCATCCAAATGTTGCAAAGGAAGTCAAAGATGCCCAGTTGTTGAAAAATGTTGGCAATTTCATAACATAACCATAGAAATCAGATCTAAAATCCATGGAACGGATCCAAGTCTCTGGGCGACGCCATATTGGATATCGTCTGTGACGTAATTTTGGGGGGGGACGGGTGGGACATGTCCCCCCCACTTTTTCAAAAGGCAGTTTTGGTCCCCTGCACTTTTTTCCGTCCAAAAACAATGTTACGCTCCATTAAATGGATCTGGTTGAGCACTAGGACCGAAACGGAAACCGGTTTACTATTAGACCCGCCCAAAAGCTAATCTATTGGCTCTGCTGATACTTGCTAACGTATTATTGGCTGTTGCTGCTGTCACTCAAGTTGTAAACAGTCAGAACGTGCTCACGTTGTTTTGCTAGTTTGGAGCCGCTAGGGAACACCGGTACTGAGTCACATCGTCAACTAGACGCTGTGTAATATCAGAGCTCAGCTCAGCTTCCATTACATAACATTTGAATAAGTGTTCATTTGTGAGTCTTTGGTAGTTAGGCACAGCCAGGAGGCAGCATGTCAAGAAAACGAAAAGTAGATATAAGAGACTTCTTTCAAAGTCAAAACGTAAGTTGGACATGTGACACCCCTGCATTAAGCTCACTCACCTCCTCCTTCACACACATACTCAAAACTAACTTTTACAAACTCATCTCCTCCACATAACTGACCCCTCAGACACAATTTATTCGTATTATTATAATAATTATTTTTTTATTATTACTATTATCATCATAATTATTATTACTAGTAGTAGTAGAAGTGTAACTTCAAAACTTTTATCATTTAACTTTATTGTAAACTTATCTATTGCAATGTATATTTTCACATTAAAAAGCTCTGAAAAATGAACAGTATCATCATCGTCAACAGATTTTTTTAAGCTTAATGTCAAAGATGTACACTTTTCATTAGATTTATCTTATTTTTTCCATTTATTTTTTGTGTGTTGAAATGCAACAACTGTTTAAACACTTTTAAGGGAAAAACATATTTAATATGTTTTTATACAGTCAAATGTTAGGGTGATGATCATGTGTAAAACATTAGTTCAGCATGTCCTCTAACACAGCAAATGAACAAACGGCCAGATCTCAGGAGGGACCGTTTATGTATAAATAATTTTTATACTTTTGACTAGGCCTGGGAATGTAACAAATTTTGCTGGACGATATTTTGTCCAACAAATTGTTGATGATAAGCGATATTGTGTACATTATCTAGACCAAAATAACCACTAATATAATGTTAATATATCATAATAATGCAAGTACACCCTTTAAAATGCAACAAATAAACCTTCATTTAACATTGAAATGTCCAGAACCAGAACTTCTAAATGAATAAAAATAACAAACAAAAATTGAATAAAAAAAGAATCTCACTCCCTGTTAGAAAATGTTGCACCAAAAACAATAAAAAATACCCAAAACAATAAATACAATGGCCTATCCATTGTCAACAGCCAAAACTGCACTTCAATAATGATAATAAATAAAAATAATAATAGAGTTGTACATTTTTTAACTTTGATATATATATATATATATATATATATATATATATATATATATATATATATATATATATATATATATATATATATATATATATATATAGAGGATGGAAAAATTATTGAGATGGGCACGTGACGTGTCAAGGGGTCTTTACATAACACCCCCCACCCCAAATCCGCACAAGCCTGCTGTGTCCCCCCCACTTCTGAAATCAAAATTTCGTCCCTGGATATCGTGCTTCCTTCTACGGAAGCCCGTGAGGACAAACACATTTACTGATTTGTAACAAATGGTTACAAAACTTTCACCATTAATAATATTGATAATTTATTAATAATAAATTAAAGGAGCATTATGGAAGTTTGACAGTCTAAACATGTATGTAAATAGTAAATGTCTTCTTCATACATTCTCCTGCAATGCCCTGGTCCTGTAGAATGAGCCCTGGCATTTTTACTGTGATTGCCTGTTTTTCTGTAAAATTAC